ACATATGGACAACATTTTTCTGAGCAATTTACAATGTGTCTGCTTGAAATTAGAGAGAAATCCACACCTGGAGAGTTCTCTAGAGTCTGAATTTCTAACTCCTATGAGCTGGTAGGGTTTTATTGCCCTTATTTTATTTAGATTGACTCAGCACCAGTTTTTTTGGTCTCTCTTTCTCAGTCTGTTGCAGCAGGCTGTTAGGATTCAGCTCACAGAGACTTGCAACAGGAAAGCCGTAGCTGTGCTTGATCTCAGAAGGAAAGGATCAAAAAAGTCAGGGCAATACTGAGAAAGAGGGGCTGCTGAGGGAAGGAATGCCATGTGTGAATTATAAGTGGACTTCAGCACTATCAAAATGGGTAAGACATGTCTCCTTCCTTCCTCACAGCTCCAGCAATTTCACTGGGACTACACCTGCAGGCGTCAGATAAGGGTCTGTCCTGCAGGCCACAGACCCTGTACCCCAAGGACTAAATTCATATTTCCAAGGCAAAAGAAAAATAATTACTTGCCAACCTGATAGGATCAGATAAGGGTCTGTCCTGGAGGCCACAGACCCTGTACCCCAAGGGCTAAATTCATATTTCCAAGGCAAAAAAAAAATAATTACTTGCCAACCTGATAGGCAATTACTAAACTGAGCAGAGTGGTGAAGGAGAATTTTCTTTTTTCTGTCTCAAGGAAAGAAAACAAAATGCAGTGTTATTACCCCATCTGTCATGCCAGAACATCAGCTGAAGGCGAGCAGCTGACTCCCAGGATTAGCACCCTTCCTCAGTGGTGAGAGAAGTAGTTATACAAAGTGGAATGAGGCAAATCGAGTTTTCAATTGCAGAAGAAGAGTGGGAAACACTGCTGAGAGCCTGCTGAATGGACTGATGAAACAGCAGCCCCAGGGAGACTGTTCAAAGGTTCCTTTGGTTATTTAATGAAGTGTGGTTGAGTTTCGACCCCTCAGCTTCAGTGCCGGAGGTCTTCTGTGAGTGTCTGAGGTCTTGCTCCTAACCCTGAGCTCATTGACTACTCAGAGAATTTTTTTAATCATATTTCCCTAGATTTGTAATGGTTTTCTTTCCTGCTGCATGAAAGGCCACTCAAGTGACAGAACAAATTCATCATATGGTGAAGCTGGGAGAGGACCAAGCCCAGGAGCTCACTGCAAGCTCTGGGAACAAGAGGAGACCTCAGCCAGCTTGGGTAAACCATGTCTCCAGGCACCGCCTGGTGAACAAGGCTCCAGCATTTACCAGTTCCTATGGCACTTTTAACAACAGCAGGTTAAAGAAATCAGTTTTATTTAGAGAGAAGGGACTTGTCTTAAAACTTCTGTCCAAGTTCTTTTAAACCACAGTGGATAACTGCAGTGGCAGAGGCTCCTGTTGCCCTCATTAGCAAAGTTTTAGCCTTTGCAAAGTGCAGGCTTGCTCCCCCTTTTCCAGAGGTTACTGCCAGGGGAGTAGTTTCTCCTCCCTCCCTCCCTCCCTGGCCCCTGCTGGGGACCTGCCCTCCCGCACCCAACCCCAGCAGCAGCCCTGCTGCAAACACCACCACAGCTGCAGAAAAAGCAGCACCAGAGAAACACATTTTCAGCTCCACTTTGCAGTTTAAATCCAGGAGAAGGGCTCTGGCAGGAAGCCCTGAGCTGCTGCCCTGTGCATGGCTGCAGGTCCCTGGCTCAGGTCACCAGCAGCGATATTGCTGCAATTCCCCAAGCTGGCACGGGACTGACACTGAACAGCACCTCGTCAGCCTGTGATATGGTCAAAATATCTTCTCTGAGGCTTCGGTGAGTTTCTTCTACTGGCCCAGCACCTGTGGTGCCATCAGCCTGTGGGTCAGAGTACGTAGAAGTCATTGTTGTTGGACAGGTCGCTGTAGTGGCAGAGGGCGAGAGCAGGAGCCTGTGCTGGAGGGGGCTCAGCTCGACTCCTGCCCTGAAGCCCCTGTGCCGTGGACCTGCCCGAGCCTGACTTGCAGAGATGAGTGTCCCACCTGGGCTCAGCCACAGCCTGATGCTTCTGCTTGAGTCTGCTGCCACCCTTGCAATAGGTCCCACAACACCTGCACGTCAGGAAGTGCTTGGCTCGGTGTTTGGCCTTTGACTCTGAGGCTGGGGCCGTCCCTCCATGAACAAGAGTCACTGCTGCAGCACTCCGTGGGTCAGGCTGCCCTTTCAACCGGCTCCTTCTCCTCTGGACAGGGTCCAGGCTGATGTCTGACTGGGAGGAGCAGCTCTCATTCCAGCCAGCGCCAGCGCTCAGGCTGCGCAGCGGCAGGGCGAGACGCAAAGCCTTCCAGAACTGGGAGCCAGAGCGCTTGGACTTCTCCCCCTTCCAGGTGACGAAGGAAACAGACTCCTTCAGCTGGAGGATGCTGGGGTGGGTGCACTGCAGTGGCCTATACTCTACCACGATCAGCTTGGTGGCGATGGCGTTCTGGCACATGATGCCCAGCTTGAACTCCAGGAGGCTGATGCTCTTCTCCGTCAAGTAATCAGGACTCAGGACCACGATCATCCTGCGGCTCCTCTGGATGAAGTCGAACACGGCTTCGGTGGTATCTAAGAGTACAAGGGCAGAGGAATTGGGGTGCACAAGGAGGAGGGAGTGGGGAGAGAAAAGCTGAAGGAAGCTGTGTGGTGGCACATCTGTACAGATCCCCCTTCCTGCAGAGGGAAACCTGGAACAAGCCCTGTGACTTTCAACGTGCCCACACTCCTGCTGGCAGCATTTTTGCTGTGCAGTGGGTTTTTGAGAAGCCCAAACTGGTTGACAAGAAGCCAGGATATGCCTTGACTGTATTCTGACTTCTGCCCTGCACAGCATCACTCCTGCCCAGGGAAGTGCAGGACTTGCTTAGGAACCACCTGCCCACAGCTCTAGCAGCCCTTTGCATCACGGGAACAAAGTGAAACAATCACGTCATCCTGCTACAGCTCACAGTGCTGAGGCTAAGACCTCCCTCCCTCTCTCTCATGATCTCTCATCTAGAAATGGAAACCTCCCGATTTAGTAAGCAAAACTGTCAGCCTTAAACAACTCCATCAGTTCCCCTAGCCATCATGGAGGGGTGGAAAAACTGTCCTTCAAAGCTTGTTTCACAATTAATTGCAGGTTGTAAAGCTCAGCAAGATGCTTATCTGGAACAGTGCCAGGCAAGGGCAGCATCTCTTTTATTGTAGGTGTTGAAAAGCAGCAAACCTGAAGGATGCCCTTGGACTTGGACTTGTGCTTGGGATGCAGTAAGCATATTGGAGGTGTCATGGCTAATGGGTGAGCAGGGGAAAAGATTGGAATTATAGGGCTGTGGTGCTCAACAAATTAACCCAAGCTGATTAATAGAACTGTAAAAACCCACACACTTACTGAGTGCTGGTGCCTGAGATGAGGGGAGACCCGAGGACAAGGTGGCATTCAAGCAGGACAGGGATCATTGGAGTAAGAGCTCCTGCACATTTCAGAGAGAAAAACCTGCCTGTAGGAAGGTCTCTCAAAGAGATGTTCTGGGAAGAACTGCTACCTGCTGCTTGCATTCCCTTTCATACTGCTAAAGCCTTGATTCCCCAGCCTGGAAACTCCTCTCTCCCTGCCACTGGAGCACTGGCCTTTTATATAAATAAATTTACTGCTCCTTCCCTGCAATTGCAATGCCTCTTATTCTTCCAGCACCTGGCTGTCTCTTATCTCACAGCAGAAGGTGCACTGTGTTGCATCTGGATGCACCAGATTAATATTGTACAGAGCAATACTTTTCAAATATGTATGACTCGCTGTAAAACTCATTGTCACTAGATTGTTTGGAGACCAGGATAGGGAAAATTATCACACAGTAATGTTCTAATGGAGAAAGTAAGACACTGTTTGGTTCTTTAACATAATGCTGGAATTAAAATCAAATTATTTTGAGGGTTTTTTTTAATTGTATACAAGGTTTGCAAGGATTTTGCCTCCTCCCACCCCAACACAGACAGCAAAACACTGATTCATTGAAACCAAAAGTAGATGATAAAGTCAATTCTGTCCAAATTGTCACTTAACGCCATGACACATTTTTACCACCCTATTTCAAAGGCACAAAGAATTGGCAGCAATCTCCAATTTACGGAGTCCAGACCTCATTCAAACCTTTCTACAACTGATTGAGATCTATTTTGAAAACAGTCAGGCTTCACCATTTTGTGAAAGAAAAAGCTCTTCTGCTGGTTCAAAAGGTCTTTCTTTTTGAAACTGGAATCACAGAACCACAATGAAATGTAGGCAGGAGCAGCCCCTGGGAGGTCACCTATTCTACCTGCCTCCTCAAAAAGCCCAGGTTCAATTAATGTGAATGACTCAAATGGTGCTGAAATGAAATGTTTTGATTGAGCTGACAGTGCTGGTTTTCTTTTACCAATTTTGAATTTGCAACACTTTTTGAGACTTGACTTTTTTTTTTTTTTTTGGCAGGGAAAATGCTCAAATTCCCAAAGATAAGATTTTATTTCTGAGTATGGCATGCATTGGGACTTGGCTGACCAGGATACCTTGGGATGTTCAGTTGACAATTTACCCAGCTCACAAAAATTCCTGAGTGGCCCCTTCACAGAGTGTAGGTAGGATGGTCCCTGCCAGTGACACCACCAGCACAGGATGGGCCAGGCAGCAATAACACTGCTGAGGTTGGGGATTCAATACCCTTGGATATCTGCTTTATACTAAAAAAATTTTCCATCTTTAATAAATGGTTACAAAAGGCACTGCATACTTCTATTAGTTTACTTGTGTCTCCCCTAATGCACCCCAGAGATGTAACAGAGGATTACGGTGATACATCCCATACTCATAGACCCCAAATCCATAGATTATCACAAGTATTCCTTTTGCTAGTGGTCTGAAGTGCTAGGCTCTCTCTCAACTTACCTGCTATCAGGCAAACAAGGGCAACAGACAACAAAGTAGCTTGGATGAGAAAATAAGAAGCTACTAAACCTTTTCTACACACAACTGCCTGGAAAATGATAGGTGAAGTAGCCTGAGAGTGAGTTTGATTTCTGTGGTTTGGGCAAATTTCCAAAATTTCTGTTCAACATTCTGGCTTGATCTCTTGAGCAAAGAGATGATGTTCCCTTCCCATCTTTCTGTCCTGTGATTGCCAAGTGAGCACGCTTCAGATCAGAGAGTTTCTCTGTCCACTGCTGTGTGACATTTGAATGCTGTGTGTCACTATTTCTGCTTGCAGGGCCCTGGTAGCAGTGGTGGTGCCTCAGGTACATCTGCAGGCACAACATGAAACAGTCATAAAAACCACCCCCTCCAAGGAGGTGCCTCAAATGATCTTGGTGCTTGGACTACAAACAATCGTATTTCTTAACAGCCTTTCACAGACGTAATGGGGAGAAAGATGGTACTTATGAGAAATGCACAAGGACTGAAATGCAAAAGTGAAAATGTTTTATTGAAAAGCAAAATAAAATAACACTGACACTTCACAGACCAAATAACACAAAGGCAAAAACATACAGAAAAGAGAAAGGAAAACTCTGGAGCAGCTGTACAATATCAAACAGCGTGGGGAGGGAAGATATTTTTTCCAATTTGTGCCACGCTGTTTCCCCATGAAATAACAATGAGGAACTTTGCATGAGCTGCATATTGATAAATGTTAGGTTAGAGCACAGAAACTCAAATGAATCAACTGAGCTAGACGGATGCTGTGACAGAATCCCACAATGGAAACCACACGTGGCAGAGAATGAAATGGCAGGCGGATCTGAGGTGCTTGCAGATCTGCATTACAGCTGGGACTGGGCTTTACCCTGGCCTGACAGCTCCCAGCAAAGCCAGTGTAAACCTCCCTGGGGGAGCAGAGTCTGCTCCAGCGTTATTCCATCCGTGCTGCTCCCTCTGAACCTCTCAGACCCCTTCCAGACCATGGCACTTTTCATTTTGTGGGTGCTCTGCTTATGTCTCAGTAATCCTGCTCCAGGATTGCAATGGCACCAAGGGCCACAAAATGTATGCCAGAGAAAGTCGTGGTCTATTAATAGTTTGGAAAACTCTTTGAATAAAATCAGCAAAATACATGAGGTGGACTTAACTTCCCAAAATAATCAGACTTACTAAAACATCAGTAGAAATTGGTAACTGCCAAAACTGAGACGTGAGGTGGTGAGGTCTGGGGTGTTAATTCATTTTATGTGTATTTTGAAGTCAATTTTTTAAAAATCAAGTGGGAATCTAACACAGCTCTGCTTTGGCCTCAGGGCCTTCCCTCTGCCTGCAGATCTGGCAACTGATTACAGAGATGTTTAAAACACAAACAAAAAGGTGAAGCTGGGCAAAATGTTACGGCTGTGATGGGTTCACAAAGCTGAGCATGGTTTTAAGTGCTATCTCATAAATGCTTTCTGGAGTGTGGGAAGCAGCTTTGGCCCTCCACAGTCAACCACAGTAGAAAAGCTCATACCAAAACTTTTGAGCACCTCTGAGTAGATGAGGAGCTCCACTGCCTCTGGAGAAGCTGACTGCAATTTTACCTGCTTAAAGAAAAGCTTATCTGGGGCAAGGAGGATGAAAACGAAGGTAAGGAAGAAGCTCTATTTGTTCCACACTTTGTGGGAAGCAGCTTTGGCCCTCCACAGTCAACCACAGTAGAAAAGCTCATACCAAAACTTTTGAGCACCTCTGAGTAGATGAGGAGCTCCACTGCCTCTGGAGAAGCTGACTGCAATTTTACCTGCTTAAAGAAAAGCTTATCTGGGGCAAGGAGGATGAAAACGAAGGTAAGGAAGAAGCTCTATTTGTTCCACACTTTTACAGTACCTACAAAGCTTATCTAGGGCAAGGAGGATGAAAAGGAAGGTAAAGAAGAAGCTCTATTTGTTCCACACTTTTACAGTACCTGACCAAGGGCATGGGTGGTTGTGGTTCCCCACAGCCCTGGCATAACATTATTAATCATAAGATGCTAAAGGCAAAGGGGTTCCCTGACACCAAGGATTCAGTCTCACACCTTTAAGGCTGGGCTGTTTACTGGGACACCCTCAAACCTCTTCAGCTGGGTGAATAGTGCAGAGACTCCAAATTGTATTGCTTTCTTAATGGCATTATGAATGCATTTACTTCACCCACTGGACACCAACAGAGTGAACGCATGAGTCGAAGGTGACTCAGGAGCAACCACTATCAGTAAAAATAAGCATACACTTAGTGTGCTTAATAATGAACTCCATCATTAAGTGGGCAGGTCCCTCCACTGGGAGCTACAGGAGTATGGAGACACCCCTGGAGCTTGTAGTTTTATTTGAAAACGTTGTGAACTACAGCACCAGTCAACGCCAGAGTCCCACTGTGCTTTGGTCTGTCCTACAAGGAAAGGGACACTCCCCTCCTTGGCCTGAAAAGGCTGTGTGCAGGATAGGGGTTGACTCACCAGGTCCTCTCCTATGCCTGCTTCCTCCCACAGAAGCAAGGACTGGTACACAGTGGGTTTTTCGTGTTTCCATTTTGTGCAAAGGTTACAGAAGCTAAGATATATCATCTGTCTTGCAACTCTGGGCTGGAAACAAGATGGGGGAAGACTTGCTTTGTAAAGACAAGGCTGGTTTAAACCTGAGCCCTGAATTAGAAACAGTGAAGCTGTTCATACCCAGGCAGAGAAGACAGAGTCTTCATAGTTTGGGCTGGAAAGGACCTTCAAAGGCCATCTAGTTCAACCCCCCCTGCAATAAGGAGGGGCATCTTCAACTAGATCAGGTTGCTCACAGTCCTGTCCAACCTGTCCTTGACTGTTTCCAGGGATGGGGCATCCACTGCCTGTCTGGGCAACCCGTGCCAGTGTTACACCAACCCTCATCATAAAAAATGTCTTCCTTAAATATAGTCTGAATCTACCATCTTTTAGTTTATAATCACTACCCCTTGTCCTATTGCAATAGGCCCTACTAAAAACTCTGTCCCTATTTTTCTTATAAGCCCCCTTTAAGTACTGAAAGGCCACAATAAAGCCTCCCTGGAACCTTTTTTCTCCAGGCTTAGCAATGCCAGCTCTCTCAGCCTGTCCTCATAGTCTTACCCAGCTGGACAGGGTGAGTAATTTTTAATAAGTTCAAAATAAGTTTGTAGGGTCTCTTGCTGAGTTGGACATATATCCAGTGTCATCCCAGGGGCCTCAGCAGGGTCCTGCATGATGCTTTCCCTCAGCCAGTGGCAGAGATAGTAGGCAGGTTAGGCAGGTTCAGTAGTACATTGGGGTTGCTTGTAGTGCTTTTGAAGTCCCTGAGTTTATTCTACAATGAAATATCTCTCAGACATGTTCCATGTCCTGCATTAATGAGAGATATCCCCTGGATGGGAATGCCCCCTGGGCATTACAGCCCTTAAGGATGAGACTGCAGAGTCCCAGAGATTGGCCACTTGTTACTAAAGTGCTACAATACAAATATCACCTAGCGGAGTTGTGGACTATTGGGGATTTTAAGTGCTTTTCTAACAGCCATTTCACATTTCCAAATTATCTGAATGCACCTGCTTCAATAGAAATGTGGGGAGCAAATATGAGGAACCTCAATAAATTGTGCTCCCCCACTGAAGCAGAAGTCTGTGATCCCACAGTGATTGGGGTATAGAGCCACCTTTCAAACTGTTCCCCAGCCCCTACAACAGGGACCAAGGACCAAGAAGGAGTGAAGTCACTTAGGAGAGGAAAGGCACTGCCCTCTATGCTAGTAAAGGTCCCACAGGAACTGGATCTAGGAATATTGGCCTATATAAATACCTTGCTACCGTGAGGTGCTCAATGCATCCCACCTGGATAGCCCAAATTTAGACCTTAAGCCCAGAGCTTGTGAGGTTGATAATGAGAGCATACATTTGCAGAGGAGGTGTTTGCATCTTTGGTCTCTCTACTGCCAGAGCAATACAAGTAGGGAAAACCATCCTCTAAAATGTTTAGGACATGGTCCTTCCTGGAAAAAGCAACTGAGTTCCTTCCCTCTCCCTGGCCTAACTTGTGGATTTTTGGCATTTGTTTTGGTTTGTTTTCTGTTGGTGTCAAACATTTTTCAGGGATACACATCAACCCATCATGGCTCAAACTCCTGCTAATTTTTTTCACTGGCATTTCCACCTGCAGCTGCTTCCAGAACTGTTTAGGACATGGTCCTTCCTGGAAAAAGCAACTGAGTTCCTTCCCTCTCCCTGGCCTAACTTGTGGATTTTTGGCATTTGTTTTGGTTTGTTTTCTGTTGGTGTCAAACATTTTTCAGGGATACACATCAACCCATCATGGCTCAAACTCCTGCTAATTTTTTTCACTGGCATTTCCACCTGCAGCTGCTTCCAGAACCTGCCCTTTGGGAACTTGGATTTCTCGCCTTTCCATTTAATGACAGTCAAGGCCGCCTTGGCCTGCTTCAGCTCCTTCACTTTGCTCTTCTTGATGGCTTTGTACTGCACTAGAATGACTTTGATGTTGCCCTTGGAGGCCATATTCTCTAGACCAGCCTTGAGCTCCAGCAGGGCCTGTGTCCCCTGCAAGACGTAGTTGGGGCTCAGGACAACAAGCAGACGTCGGCTTTTCTGGATGAAGCTCAGGGTTTCGTCTGTGACAACTGGGAGAAAGAAACATTGAGGTGGTTAGTGATGCCCAAGAACATGCTGCTGAGTTGCTAGTGTGACACCAGGTGTCGCTTGAAGGGGACAATAAAATCCCTTGGAGGGCCTATCTAGAGACTAGACTGGTGCTTCCCAATCCTGCAAGCAACTCCAGGTAGGACCTCCTACACCATGGCTGGTACCCACTGCCCCATACAGTGACATCTGCTCCTAGCCCCCAGGCTGCCTAAAGATGCATTTGCTCCTCCCCACACTGCATGGAGATACCCAAGATAGCTACATCTAAAAGGCACTGTACTACATGTAAGTGACACCACCCAATGGTATGAGGATGCCTTGTGGACAAGAGGGCTGCTGAGGCTCAGATTTAGCTTCCTACTAGTGAGGGTGGAAAAAGAGGTTCTCTGGAGCAAAGCAGGGAAAATTGCTGCTGAACAGCACGTGACCTCAAAGGAAAGACTCAGCCTGAACAGCTGTAGGGAAGCCTGAATGCCTACATTACATCCCCCTCTGAGAGATGTCTGGATACTTCCTTCACTCTTGCCTTGGTTTCCCCACACCAAACACAATAAGTATCTACACCCTGCCTAAGTGTCCTCATGAGTTAATTTGCTTTGGTAATACTACCATCCTAATTCCTGTTACTCATCCATGTGTTCCTCTTGCCATCATCTATGAAAGCAGATTAGAGCATTTTTAGAACTGACAAGTAAACTGCTCTGAGGACTTTTAATCAAGTGTTCCAAAAATTCCATCCTTTGAGCTAGAGAAATGTCATGGTAACTGGATCCTCTCTAATTTTCTAACATCTGCAGGTAGACTGTCCTTAGGCACCTTCCTGTAATTAATGTGAAAATCCCTTGTAAGTGTGAATCCTGGTGCTTGTTGGATCTGCTGCAGGATCTCCCGCACTTCATTGACGAGGGAACACTCTTGACTGGTCAGAAATTACAATGGAGAATAAAATAATGCTGACAGGCAACTTCATTTAGCTGTCAAGCACGTTTGATTAGTTCCTGTCAGCAAACTCGGAGGATAATCCATCTCCCACTGTTTCTTCATCAAGGACAACGTAAGTCTCTGCCCGTGACACAGATGCACACTCTGGAGGCATGACACCAGCTGCCAAAAGCTATTTCCTGGCCCGCCGTGCTTTCCCGAGAAACAGATTAGTCAAATCCTGGCTAAGAAGCGATGGGGAAGCCCCAGCAGCATTGCAAATGGCAGTGCAGTGACAAGTCACTCCAGCAGTGCTGGTGCTGGATGAAGGCTGACAGTGACTGCCACAGGGGGCAGGAATGGGAGAGCTCCGGGGTTAGGGTGAAGGGCAGAGAGCCCAGCAGAGCTGCACTGGGAGGAAAATGACACCCTCCGAAGTGAAAGGATAAGGATGGCAAGAACTGGCAGGGAGAACAGGAAGGAGATGGACATCTGGTGAGAACAGCTCAGAGCAGGTTTGCCTGGCACTGTTGCCAAGCAATATAAGCCTGGAAGGTGCCCTGCCGTGCCATCCAGGCTCTCTTTAGAAGGAACAGCATCAGGATTGCTGCTGTCTCCCTGTCCTCTGAGGCACATGTATTTATTTACCTTCAAATTTTGAGGTGCTCCTAGATCCTTGCAACAATCTAGGGGATAAAGATAACAGATCCCAGTCTGATTCTTCCCTCTTTGCCACACAGCTGGGCTGAGACTCCAGCAGTCCCTCCTGTCCCAAGAGGGACCCCAACTGACTTTATCAGCACAGGTTCTGCCATCAGTGGGGTCCTGACCCACAGCTCATGAATTCAAAGTGCACTCTCAGAAGTTCAGACTTTGAACTTTTAGTAGGCATCATGCATCAGGGACCATGCAGCCATCTTAGCCCCTGGGATGGGGAGATTGAGAGTATTGGCAAGACTTCTGCTTTTGCTGTGGCACTTCTGTGAATGTATGTGTAGCTGGAGAGTTTCACAAACTTCCATTCTTGATGATTTTCTGCATCCCCGCAGCAGACACATGCCCAGAACCTTATATAATTTAGCTCGAAACAGTGAAAAAAGACTACATCTTACTGAAGAGATGAGTCTCACTACCTGCAACAAAGCATTTTTAACTATAGTAGCTTGATTGTATGCCATGTTAGACACAAACTCTCTAATTAATGAGGGTGAGTAGCAGGCATGTGATCTTCTCACTGATTTTGGCAGGGTGCTCTCCACACCTTCCTGAAGCAGACACTCCTGGTTTTACAGGCATTCACCATTACCCTCTGCGAACAACCAGTCTGCTCCAGTATCATACTTCTCCTGCCTCTTTTCTTCTAGCCTTGACTTTATCCTCTCTTTTTAAGGCAGCTCAGAGGGCTTGCATGAAGGTCAGGGGTCCAATTCCCCATGTTGACAGATCAATCACTGCTGCACATCACTTCTGGATAGAACAACTGAAATGACCAACCACCATCACTTGCCTACCACAGCCTTTTTGGTGGCCTGGAGCATCTGCAACATTGTCACGTGAAGCAGAAACATTAGAAGATACCAAAAAGAGTTTGTTAATAGTGATAAGCCTGTTTCAATCAATTATCAACATAATAAAGAGAGGAGCATGGAGTGTGTGCATAGAGCACAGTCCCCTGTGAAATACTCACTTCCCCCAGGGAGGCTGTCTCTGTCGAAGATACACAGCTTGTACCCAAACTCATTCTCCAAGACTCCTCGCAGTGTCAGCAGCACAAATTCCTCCTCCTCAGCGTTGCGTGCGTAGGACACGTACACATCGTACTCCTTCCCGTCTGGGCATCAGCAGCACAGAGACACACAAACAGCAGAAGAGACACCTGTGATACTGCACATACTTCATGGGAAAAGCAGGTACAAACGCTCACTGTAAGCCCAGGCACTGCAGGTTACGGCACATCGAATTCCACAGTCACATGACAACAGTGCTGCCTCTTTGACTACCCGGTCTGAACGTGCAGGTACTCAGACACTGCTGGGTCACTGAAGTTATAAGACCAAAGCAAAATGACCAACCCATTCTGTCCAGGCTCCTTTTGTCTTTTGACATCTCTGACATTGCTCCCTCTCATCGTGCTCCATCCACATGAGCAGTCCCACCAGACAGAGACTTGCACCCTGTCTACACCCTCCTAGAGCTGCCGCACCCCCATGGCAGGTTCACACCACAAGCTGCAAGGGCTTGAACACCCTCCTCCTTCTCCAGAGGTAAAAGTCTCAGCTCAGAGTCCCTAGTGATGAACTCCCAGTAACATAGGGAAGCTGTGGAAAAACTGAGGACAGAAGGGTGATTTCCAGACTCATCCTTTTGGATGCCTTCCCGTATTTTAAAGCAGGTCACTCTGGACTTATGAATCCTTACATAGAGTCACCAGAGAAATCCAGGACTTACTGAAACTTGATGACTTATCTGGACCATCTAGATGGGATGAAACAGCTAGCCATGAGAAGGGCAGAGCCCCAGGGAGCCTGACACATCCATGCTTCACCTCTGCAGAGAACACAGATGACTACTCTTTCCTTCCCCCAACCCAACCTTACTCCTTTTGTTCTAAAATGACCCACACAACCGAATGTAGGTATAGAAATAGGTCAAAATGTCATGACCCAACCTTACTCCTCTTGCTCTAAAATGACCCACACAACTGAACGTAGGTATAGAAATAGGTCAAAATGTCATTATGCTGTGAAGAGGGTTAAAAATACTTTATATGAAAATTCCTATATGAAAACAAAGGGCCTGGCCTATAGCAGAATAGAATACATGTAAGCTCTTTAACTCCTTACCTAGAATGGTTTCATCTGTTCCAAAATGAGCCCGATAGAAGAGGACCATTTCAAGCCAATACACGTGATAGACAACTATCAGCACCACAACGAGCAGGACGGTTGCCCCCAGTCCACAGGCCAGCTCCACGGTGTACTTCGGTGCTACAACTGGGTTCAAAAAGAAATAGAGGGTCAGGTTTAAAGAACAGGTTAGGCCTTCAGCTGGGTGGGTACAAGCTTGTGTCACATGCAGCCAAACACCACACAGGAACAGCCAGAAGCCAAGCTGGCCCTTCAGAGAAAGGTGGCCAAGCCAAGGTTTTTCTGGCAGGACACATGATGGCTGGCTACCCTGGAGTCCCCATTCTGGGTAATTAGGTCTAGTTGAGCTGACAGAGCAAGTCATAGCACAGACAGGACTTCTGTCTCTGAGCTAGACCCTGGAGCAGCCAGATGGTAGAATGACCTGTTGATAGAAAACACCTGCAGAGCCCAAAGCCAGATCATGAATGTGACCTTCTCAGCAGTATGCACAAACTCTTGGGGCAACACAACTGCACTTACTTCTAGGAGAGCCGAATAAAACTCACCAGTAGCAAAGTAAAGGCAATGGCTACCACTTTCCCTCCCGATCAAACACATGTCTTGTGACTTGGCCCAGACTACCAGCAAGGATATAACAAGCCATGGCCTGACTGATTCTTCTTTCCTGGTAGAACACAGATTTCATTACAGAAAAGCTGAGATGCTTGGAAACAAATAGGACAATCTGTGGATGTCAAGCCAGAACATCACAGGCCCCCTCCAACTCATACATTGTCTGTCACACCACTGCTGCTTCTTTGTACTAAGGATAGAAAATAACTCTTCTAACAGTATCCCTGGGCAACTCTGTTGGTGGCAACTGACATGCACATTGGCAAACTGCACAACAAAAGAACAGCAGGGAGTGGAAACACCACCAAATTCCAGTATTTAATAAGTTTCTAATAAAACTGACTTACAAAAGCCAAAATGAAAGGAATTTATCAACTTTCATTAGGTGATTGATGCTGAGAAAAGCTGGAAAAGAACTACTCACAGACTTGTATCTCTTTAAGTAGCAGGTATTTGTTTATTCAGCCCCAGGCACAAGGGGGATGGCTCCACCAAACTTGTGCAACCAGGGACAAAAAATTCACAGTTTATATACTTTAAATGCACATACATATTCATTATTTCCAGGAATCGGTCGTTGTTATTATAATTATTTCTCAGAAATCATTATCATATACTCCTCTTCCATCTCCTCCCTCCTGGCATCAGTCCCATGCCTGAGAAAAGCTGGAAAAGAACTACTCACAGACTTGTATCTCTTTAAGTAGCAGGTATTTGTTTATTCAGCCCCAGGCACAAGGGGGATGGCTCCACCAAACTTGTGCAACCAGGGACAAAAAATTCACAGTTTATATACACTAAATGCTCATACATATTCATTATTTCCAGGAATGGGTGGTTATTATTATTATTAGTTCTCAGAAATCACTATCATATACTCCTCCTCTATGTCCTTCCTCTTGGCATCAGTGCCATGGTCCTGGTGGTCGTTCGGTGGTCGTGAAGATGAAGTGCCTCCTCTTCTTCAGTACCTTACTGTGCAACTGTTTACCCCTTTGTACAGTTTTGCATGCCTTGCTGACCTTGCTTCTACCTTAAACATTTTGTTTCTTCATTCCACACCTTATATGGTCTTGATTTTCCTCCTACTGCCAAGGTTTGAGTCTGGTTAGTTCTACTGTCTTATAGATAAGATGCATTGTTTTGTTAATTAAGCTAAAATAATGCCATTAGTGAAGCTTCTTGTCTGTACTATGCAATCCTGGCTGTTTTGCTAACTAATCTGAAATAGTGCCATTAGTAAAGCTATTCCTTATACTTTCAACTTTAACTTGTTCAATTCCCATTATCGGTCCACTTCTCGCTATCATGATGAGCAGCAGAAGTATATGAAAAGGATAGGGAAATCATCCAGAAAAGGCAAGAAATGTATCTAGCCTAATGTAATGAAAGAACTGGAGCCAACCTATACAGCCACCTGCTAAAAACTGGAAGACAAGTGCTGAGGGGTTAGGTTCTGGCATGCTCGATGTTCCTACGTGCAGTGGGTTGGTCTGCAGTGAGCTTAGCTTGAGGTTTCTCTGTCAGCAGCAGCTGGGCATGGTTGCTGGATTTTGCTGTGGAACAGAGCAGGAAGAAGGGGTGGTGGATAACCATGTCTGCTCAGAGCAAACCCAGTCATCTGCTCAGGAGCAGATGGGGAAGAAAGAGAGGATAGTACAGATCAGTCCACTGGAAAACAGCATTTAGGCATTGGCAAACAGAGAAAGAATCTGAGTGCTTTAGATTTGCTTCTGCTACATGTACAAACATTATCACCCCAGAAGAATTATGTATGAAGTATGAATGCATTAGCAGATGGTTTCAGGCTTTCTCAGTTATATGTTTGGTCTGTTATTCCTTCCTAACAATCCAGAAGAGTTTTGTCTCAAAGGATCAGGGCTAAAAGAGAAGGGCAAGTATCAAGAAGAAAGAGATTTTTCATTAAAGACCTCTATGAACCTTCCCATGCTCATAAGGCAGAGTAGGGGGAAGAAGGATTCTGGCATGAGCTACACATGGCAGGGCAGCATTCCTTATTGGAGAGGGAAGGTATCAGGTAATCAGGTGTTGAAGCTCTAGATGATAAGGAGGCAGAAATATCTGCCTTAATTAGGAAACCTTACATTGCCTTTATTACTGACAGGTGGGTCTGGGAAACAGGAACAAAATCTTTGATGAAAAAACTTGTAGGAAAAATCCACACTGAGCAGCACTGCATCAGTCCAGACCACACATGCTGACATGGCTGTATCTAGACTGGAGCATCATCGCAGCAAGAAGTAAAACCATGAGGCATCGTGGTTTGACTGTCTCACTCCCTGAGCAGTGCCAACAACTTCAGTCTGTCTTTTGGAGGATGCCAACTGGTAGGCTGTTGTGTCACGTAAAACCCTCACACTATCAAGTAACCTGAAATCATTTCAAGCAGCCTGTCCTCTCAGTCCTACTTCAGTAGTGGTGCATGGATGGGATGAGGACAGCAGATCTATCCACGCCCCTCTCTCCCCAGGCACTTGACCACGGTAGGGCATATGTGACACACATCCTTTGCTCCCTGCCTCCAAGAAGCAGTGCAGTATGACAGCAATAATGCAGCAGTGCACACAGAACAGACAAAAAGGCTTGATGGATTTCCTTGTTTGCTTCCTGTTTTGCAGGGCAAGGCTTGAGGCAGAACCAACAGCCTCTCTGAGCACAGCTCACTTCACAACCATGCCCTGCAAGTACTTTACCTTTCATGCGCACTACGGCCTGGCTATGGTCCTCGCCTCTGGTGTTCCTGGCATAGCAAGTATAATTCCGTTTCAAGTCCTCTGGTGTGGCTTTTGCAACTGTTAGAGTCCTTATGACAGTTTTATCTTCAAAATCTCTAGTAATTTCACTGTAAGAGAAAAACCAGAGCACTACACATCCAAAACTGCAGGAAGTTCTTAGTGACAGATACTCCTTTCCCTGATATCACCTCTTTCTTTAAAAAGACCAAAACACATAAACTGATATTTATAAATCGATACACACTTCAGATTTTAATACAGCTGCAGCTATTCCTTTATCTGATTTTCCTTAATATTTATTTTACCACTCATAATTTTCTTACTGCGGCTGTGTCACATTGCCTTTTAGAGAAAATGGAAGTTCTTGCCTATAAAGCAACAAGATCTCATGAACTCAGGATTCAGAGCTCATGTCACATTCCCTATGCAATCCTGGATGAGTCACTTTGTCTCTCTCTGCCTGAATTGACCATCTGCAAAATGGGGATACAGTATTTCTTTTTGCCTTTCCTTTTTCTACATTGCTTTGCAAATCAACCAGGGCAGTGATTGCCTTCCCCTTGTAATTCAGGATCCAGCAAACAGAAGTCTGATCCTCATTTGGGTTCTCCAAGTAGCTGAATCTCCATTCCTCCTAATCAATGCTACGTATAACATTAGATTTTTGTTTTCAGCCTTTGTTTTTTTGAAACATTTCTATTGCTTCTGCTATTTAGGAACATTCCTCTAGACAGAATTGTCTGCCCCCATCCATTTCACAAGTCCCACAACAGTACCAGCTATTGGCAACGCTACCAGGACCTGAAAAAGTAATGATGTGAACTGGTTAACAAAGGTCCCTCAAATCCTGCTGCAAGATATCATCACAGCATGGTGCAGCCACAGGGGCTTCTGATTAGCAGGGAAGCAGAGTACTCCACACTCCCCTGAGACTGCCACATGCCTATACCCACACCCCTCTGCAGGACCAAAGAGAGGGTTAGGTACAAATGGAGGTTCACATTACTCTGCTACCTTTGTGTGACTTTTATCTTGGGGTCTGTGATGTCGTCTGTGTTTTTCCCATCTATGGTCCACCACACCTCAGTCCGGGAGTCCTTCAGGAAGGTGAAGAAAACCTCACAAGGCAGGATAAGGTCTTCTCCTTAGAAGAAAGGACCATAGTGAGGTATTGCAAAGCAGGAACAGCACCACCCTTAGTTTTGTGCTTTCCAGGGATCCTACCAGCCTAAGCTTTGCCTTCCTTCAAGAGGGAATGAGGCAAGTATCCACTTTCTGACGTCTAATAACTGCTAAACATCCTGGACATGATGATTTGTGACAGACATATCAATTAAAAAAAAAATATCCTGCCTTCTCAAATGTGTTACAAATTCTTTGACTGTACCGAGTGACACACCCAAAGGGAGATTCTCCATGCCAACCACTTCCTTGGAAAACTGGATAGTGTTAATCATCCCCAGTGCACAGAGGACAGATACCATAAAGCAAAGGATCAAACTCCACAAAAGCATTTTAGTGTGGGAACACTTCTTCAAGAATTTGACTTCCACTCAAGATCAGACTTCGGAATGTGAATATCTTTGTGATCAGCCCATAAGTGATTTTATCTTATAGAATAAATATGGAAGTCTGACCTCCTGAGCCAAAAAAGCTGTGATTTAAAGTGAAGACTTTGGTGCTAATCATCATCATTGGTACCACATTTATTACAGCAATGTAATAGGACAGGATCCATTAAATATAGGGAATTGCTCCAAAGAGCTATCAGTCCAAATCGATGGGGTGGGGGAAGGGGTGGGGGCAGGAGCATGGTACCTCGCTACCCAATGCTGCAAGGCCAGCAGAAGGAGAACTGTCATTAATTAGGAAGTAATCAGCCAAAAAGGGAGAAATAAGCAAAAAGTGGCTAGAAGGCTGAAGGCACTAAGGGGGTGAATGAGGGAGAGGGGCAGAAAAACCGCAGCTAGGACCAGAGCTGAGACACGGTCCTACATGATTTTTTCTAAGCAGCTGAGTGTCCCCATTTCATCTGCTTCTGTGCTGCATTCTATGCCTCAATATCTATCTTTATTTGTGCTTGTAAAAAATCAACTTTTAAAGCTGTGCTCTCCTGGCATCAAGAACTGGCATCCCACACTGTCTGCCAGGCAACTTGTGGCAGCTCATGTGCTCTGTGAGGGAAAGCACCAGGGAGTCAGTGGAAGGGAGGAGCTTCTGTGCCTGCCTGGGTCTCCCCACCCCGCGGGCAGACTTCCAGGGCAGCGACAACAGGCAACAAGTGTTTGGATTTACCTGCTTCCAGTTCATACACAACTTTCTCATTTGGAGAGGTGAACTGCGGTGGCAAGGCCTTGTTTGGAGATCCTGCAGGAGAAAACAGAGAGCCCCCCATGGGGACCCAGACTTCATGAGAACCTGGAATCCTTGCAGCCTCAGTCACAAAGCCCTAGTACCCTGCTGCATATTCCCCAATCTAACTTGTGATACAGTCCTGCTGCAGAGTTCCATGCACTGAGAAATCTAATTGTAGTCCACAAACTCATGGCCCGATCCAGATTTTGAGGCTCCTCCAAAATATAGGTAAGCTAGTTTGGGCTTCTCACATCACAAGAATTCCATAAGCCTCTCAACAAGGCATAACCTGTACCACTTTCTTTCTACTGCTGCTTCTAAAAAACAAAATACAAACATCATTTCCTGTTGCAAATATTTAATTCAGCTCTTAAAGCAGCAGTTAGCACAGGACTCAGAATGTATCCTACAGCTTACTCATTTTTTAAGGTCTGTCTACAATTCCCTGGCAGGTAGGCTGAGTCCTTGTGCCTGGGACAAACCTGTGCAAGCACTGGGTACCTGCAGCCCTGCCTAGCTGATTGACAGTATCAACCTCAGCACACAAAGGCTTTGAGATTCCAAGAAGATCAAGATGACTTGCCTATAAAGGGGCAATTCCACAAATAATGATGAGCAAAGGACACTGGAGACAATGAACAGGAGTGCCAGGGTTATGCATTCACATGCCAGCAGAGGGTACCCCTGGCCATCTCATGGGCTGAGCTTCATCAGTCTAAGCCTGGCCACTCTCTGAGTTTGGGGCATTTGACATGATGGTGGGTAGGACCTCAAGCACAACATGTTCTGGGCAGTCACACAAGGCTGTCACCAGCAAGAAAAAATATACCAAGTCAGTTGGGTGATGCATATTGAACACAACCACAAAAGGATTCTGTGACAGACTCTTCTAGCTGTTTTTACCACTTTTGCAGTTATCCACATGCATTTGACACATTTCAAAGTCATTCTTACCCACCACCTTCATCTTTATGGTTCTGGTGAGATTATAGGTTCTTCCATGGTCCTTGAATGTCACAATACAAGTGTAATTCCCTTTATATGCACTGCGGACAATGCCAATGACAAGCCTGGGCCCTTGTGGGTATCGTTCATAGAAGCCATCCACCAAGTTGCAGTTCTGGAGTCAGGCAGAAAAACATTTGAGTTTGGGGTTCAAAAGGAAAGATACTGGTTTAAATGCTACTACAAAGATCTAATCTTAAACTATGAATATGATACTTGGGATCGTGATGTAGTTCAGACCAAAATACCAATGACATTGAGCATGTTGGAACATAGACTGCTATATTCACTTTGAAAATTTAGTTATGAAGCAGATGATCCTCACAGTTTTATCCCACCATAAACACAGAGAATTTTATAAAAGAGAGATCTCTAATCCAGAAGTAGCTTTGCAATCAAGGTGAGCACCTCAGCAGAGTGAAGAGTAAAAGCAGACAAGGAGAAAATGATGATGTATTCACAAATGGATACCAAGACTGAAGGACATGTCCCTCGTTGATGTCCATCTTTCAAAGCTAATCAAGCTATCCTGACTGACTTCAGCTGAGGACGTGGCCCCAAAATTGGCAAATGGCAAAGGAGAATCTTTAGTACAGAAAGCTTAATAACTCTTCTCTTTCTGTCAGGCAAGGCAGGAAACCTCTGCCAAATACCAAGCTAGAGATCCCTCTCCAGAAAAGGGTTGTGCAGATAACATCTTGATTGTCATAAAACCCAAAGATGTGCACATTTTCTACGAGATTATTTCTGAATGGTACATTTCCAAATCAGATACATCCTAATGGGGCAGTTTAAGACAGGGGTCATATACCATTTCTAATGATTTTTATTAGGCACGGCATGACTTGCTGCCTGAAAAATTACTTCCATGGGGCTTTTTGTTTCATTCTGCTAATTGATTGCCGAGATGTGAATTTCAATGAATGGTAGAAGTGAAGCATTTCAGCTACTGGAGTAAAACTGCTTCTCTTGGATCTAAAAGTACGTTTTTCCTGAAGGGTTTTAGAGCTGGGGTTTTATTTTGGGTCTTTTTTCTAATTTATTTTTTTTAATCAGCAAATATATTTGTTCACAACTTTCTTTATTATTAAATTCACCTATATATAATCTTCTATCTAGAAATAAAAAAGCACTTTATAAGCAGTTATTAAAGAATACAATCCCATAACCCTCTGGCTGTACATCCCCTGAAAATTCTTATTCTCGATTGAGTAAAGACATCCACCTAGAGAAAAACAATGAGGTTAAATTTAATAAAATTGAGCAGTAATTCCGTAGGCAAGAGCCTAAGGATGGCTGAAGACAGCCTAATCATCAGAGCAGTATGGAGGGTGGGGTAGGGATGCCTTGATCTTCAGGAAAGAGGTTTGCTGAACTGTGTCAAACAGGGCACTCATTGTGTTGCAGAGGTCTGATGTACGACTTCATTTCCTGATCTCAGAGGATTTTGGAAAGAATGTTATTTTCATTAACAGGTGGTATTTTTTTCAAGAAGAGGGAGTATGAATGGCAGTTTCCTTTACAGGGATAGTGAGAGGCTCACACAGCAAGGCAGGAATACTGCCTGCTCCTAAATCCCTGCTAGAGTATTCTCCACTTGTGCACGCTGATCAAAAAAGCTTCAGTGTTAACTCTTGATTCCCTTCCAAGAGGAGTTTTACCCTTGAACTCATTGGAAACAAAGCTCTTAAAATCCATAAAGCTTCATTAACAGCATCATCACTGGGGAGACTCTGAAATGCAGCTCCACGATTCTCATGTCAACCACTGCTTTATCACAAATACCACTGCATTCCCCCACTGCCCAAGTAAATCCTTCTTACCAGGTACCACTTGACAGTTGGTGTTACACTGGCAGGGTAAAACCCATCAATATCTGGACATATGATCTTTTGATTGGCATGCTCCAAGTAGAACATCTCCTCAGTGGGTTTTATCGAATGGCTCACACAAGACTGTTGGTCTTTTGGAACAACCTCCAAGGGAAATGCAACTTTGCTGCAGTAGGTTGTGTTTCTAAGGACAAAGGAGGATAGGGCTGATTAGTTGAAACTCATTTACTCCTATAGCAGTGGAATGAAATAAAAATCACATCTGCAATAACGAGCATTATAGCACTGATGAGGTATATACAGCCTTAGCTGACCCATTTATAAATGGGAAAGAAATGCTCATCAGAGGTGGCCACACAAGCTCAGAAAAGCCTATAAAGATGACTAACAAGCAACATCCACTCCCCTGCTGGTAAAGCTGATCATCGGGTCAAAGACACAGACAAGAGACAATGTGAGGAAGATCAAAAAGAGCTCTTGTGCGTAGCAGATGCTATGTTCATTTTGTACCACACTTAGAGACACTTTTAATTTCCTAGAAGTCTGAATCTCATGAATCTTTGCCAAATTAGCGTGCAGTCAAAACATTACCCCTGCATCTGAAGCTATTTTTGCTCTAGACATCCAGATCACTTCTTAATGGTGAGTGCCTGTGGATTTTGCCATGGGCTCAGCAATAATATTTTCACGGACACTTGCAGCAAGCAAGGAGAGGCACACTCATTAACGTTTGCAAGGCTCCAAGCATTATTGCGATGCAAATTGGCTCAGCACTGAGCAGTCTTATGCTTGTAACATTCTTTTCCCATTAATGCTTATGTAAATGGTCATCTCCCTACAGAAAGATCTAGTGCTAACAGCATAATTTCCCCACTTCCACAAAAGTCTTTCGATTGTGCTGAAGACATACAGAAACTGCACCACACAACCTACCTGAGCATGCAGGTATAATTCCCAGTGTCATTGAGCAGAGCAGGCCAGAACCAAAGGGTGTCTTTATCCTTACTGATGTGATTGTCTGGGAGACGATAATTAATGGGTTCTTCCAGATCTCGGTCCTGTGCGATCCTGTACCAGATCAGTGTTAAGCCAGCAGAATGGGCTGTGCTATAGTTGTACTTCAAGAAGGTCTCAAAAAGTGGGCATTTGATCTTGGCAGGTTCCCCATCATAAATCTGGATCTGCTTCATGGTGTCCACACCCCAGTCATCACAGCGTTCTGCAGACAGGAAGAACAAGGTGCCTTAGCCTGCAAGTCTGCAGGAGAAAACAATTCTGCCCGTGCTCCCCACAGCCCTTGGTCCTGTCCCCATTAAAACCAGAGCCAAAATTATAGTGTTTTCAACGAAAGCACACTGGGCTTTTATAAAGCAGAGCAAGAACAGTGTGTTCATTTCTTGAGAACCTGCAAACCTCTGCTTTCATTTTTACACCTCCTACATTTCTTCCAAGCTATTTATCTCTCATCAGGACAATAGAATAGGATATTCCTGCATAAAACCAAGCTTCCTAGAGAGCTCCAAGAAAATTTAACACAAAAATCTTACGTGGGAAGATAAAATTTGGATTAAAACAATGCCAGAGCTATGTGTGCATTCATACACAATGACAGGGAATTCCATCTGGAAATACATGTGTTGAAATAAGAGGGGAAAAAAAATAATGACCCAAACATCAACCCTCCTGTAGAGCTATGGGCACCACCCCTGCCAGAAGAAGCTGGACTGTGGGTTCTGAGAGTGAGGACTGTCTTCCTGTGTTGGATTCCTGTGACATCTGTGCACACTATAAAAACACAAAGAGTACAAGTGCTAATTAGTGACACAAAGTCATTGTTTACAGTAAAGTTTGGGAAGGGGCAGAAGATACAGTAGGGAGGAGGTGGCAGCAGGTTCTCTTGGGAATTCCCAGGCAGTGCCCAGGTGCAATCCCCAAGCACAGCTCAACAGGCTCAGTGTGGCACACAGCAGACTTGGGCTGACATAGAAACTGGCCAGCACAAGAAAAAGCTGTACAGTGCCTTTTTTAAAAAATTTATTCTTGTCATTAGTGAATAGTTTCAGGACAGAAAGCACAGCCCAAACCTATTTCTCTTCTGAGTGCTCCTTTTTGCTCTATTCCTCTTCCAAGTGTTCCTTTCTACTCCATTCTTCCTACCCATCAGGATGTCCAGTCACAAAGGGATTCAGTGCAAGCAAAGCACAGTACCAGGGTGTCAGGAAACCTGAGTGCAACCTCCACTGTGGGTGCCAACTGAGACACAGACAGAAGCTGCTGTCACTGCTTCTCCTGTCTCCCCACGCTGACGAGGCAGAGCACGGCATGGCACACTTCCCAGTGCATCTCTTGTAGCTGCTGGGAGGCATTTGCTAGGGCAGCCTGACGTCTGAGAACCCAAAACGAGCCGAACAGGAGAGGAGTGTGCTGCCTGCAGCAGTCCCTGTGAACAGTGTCTCAGCACATCATAGGCTCACCAGATAAGACACTGCAAAGCTTCTCCCATTTTCAGATATTAGAAGAACTCAGACAGAGAGGAAAAACAGAATACAATATGCTCTTTGAGCCAAATTCTTCTGAATTCTTCTGAACTGACTTCACAGGCCCAAAGCAGGATTTCTGGCATTTATTCTTCCTTAAACAGACAGTGGGATGCAGCTTGGCCGCAAATTCATACTTAATTAAAAAAAAAGCAAAGAGATAAACCTTTGAGAAGACAGGCCCACAGCACTTAAAGGCAGCAATGCTAACTCCTGTGGCTCAGCAATGGTTAGTCATGGAGAGGAGGAATCTGGGCCAGTAAGAATAGAAATGTTTTCTGGCGGGTTTACACATAAATGTAAATGCAATCTGTACTGCTCCTCCTGCAGTATGCCAAACACCCATACGACAGAGTGCTACTTCTGGAGGAAGAGAATGAATTGGGCTAGGAAGAGGCAGTGAAGCTACCCAGAGCCCAAATATTTGCTCATAGGAACCCCAAACCCAAATGGCAGCAGAGTGCCATTGCTCATCATCTAAAAACCACATAGATTTTCCTTTCAAAACTGCACAGGACCATGCACTATGGCTGCTACCATAGCTAGCACCAAGGCTGCTCATTTTGAAAGGTCAAATCACTGTTGGAAGCCTTATATAATGGGAAGGTGTACAGCCACTGGTCGCCACCATGATCAAGGCCAACTGGAACCAGTATGCTGATGGTGGAGTCAAACTGCTGGATTAGGCACAGTCAAGCATCCATCAAGTGGTAATGAGACAAATGAGCCAGCAGAGACTGCCTGCTAACTGCAGGATCAAGCATAGATTACTGCTTTGTGTGTGTGTGTAATTATTTTTTTAAAAAGAAAGGCTTTTCCTCTGGAAGGAACAGACCTGGGGCTGTAAATCAGAACACCCAGGTTCTCTTCCCAGCACCTGACTTTGCTGTCTGTTCTTGGGCTGCATAAAGGCAAATTGTCCTTATTACTTCAAATGGCAGGAGTGGGGAGGGAGAAAACTATATAAAACATTACAGTACTTAAATTCTTGGAGTCAAGATCAATGAAATTTGCAATCATAAACAGCTCTTGCATTTCGTTTGCAACAGCCCATAAAGCAGCATTGTAAAACTACTTACCCGTTCTACCTGAACGAGTTATTGAAAATAAATACAACTATTTTATTTTTTTTCTTCCTACATTTCTCAAAAGCAATGCACAGGCCTTTTCTTCTTGGCTGGGGAAGAGGTGACTGTTACTATTTTACTGTAAGAGTTGTACCTGGAGATTTTGTCTCAAAGTTGGCTAATTTGCCTGGCTTTAGATACACTGTCACAGCATACAGCTAGTGCTAAGGCTCCGCATATGTGCCTTGCTCTGGGGTGCTGTAAGCTCTGAGCTGAACCCTGAACACAGCACGTAACTGTGCTGGTAACAAATAGCTACACCCAGACCACAGGAGCAGCCGTGTGGTGTGAGATCACAGGCTGTGCTTGCCACAAAGCTGGCAGGGACTCCTCGTGGCTGCCAGGGCAAAGCCACCCAGCACAGCTCCAAGGGCTCAGGGAGCAAAGCCACAAACCATCACTCGCATCAGAGATAGCAGAAACACCACAGGCTGCAGCAAGACCTCCTTCACACATCAAACACCCGGGACAGAAGATCTGTCACACAACTTCCTCCTCTCCATGCCATGCTGACAGTAGTACTGCTATTTTTTGGGCTGTTGTATGTCCCAGGCAGCTGGACTCAGCCTGACACATCATGTGAGGGGACTGCAGGCTGTCTCTCTCACATACCTTTGGGAGCCTTTTTGTTAGGAGGATGAAGCCCTTCCCCCTGTGCCAACAGCATCCTTTGCCATGGTGGCACTTTGCAGCAGATCCCAGTGGATGGGTCAAATCCAGACAGCCCATGTGAAAAGCAGAGGGATGTTCACATTATTATTGCCATAATTTTATTTGCATCTGACAGCTCCCTGCAGCATTTTGTGCCCCTTCCACTATTTTAACCTCTATTGGATATTCAGAACCTATTTGCTGCTAACATCAGTATGCAGCTACTTGGATGTCAGTATAAACTGGAGATAGCCTGAAAAAAATGGCATGACTTCACACTGACCCTTCACTGGCATAAAGCAGCTCCCACTACAAAAACAAAAATATTTATACACACACATTGACATATCCTGACTCCAGTAACATTTTTTGAGGGAGCATTGCCGAAAGAAGATGCAAGGATCCAGTTCTAATTGTGAGAAACAGCACTAACTTCTACAGTGCCATGACCATTTGCAGCAACTTACACTTGTTTTCACTAGCTAAGCCTAGGAAGTGAGTTTCTTCTCTCTTTCCTGCACAAAACAGCTGCTGGAGTTAAGGGCAGCTCCTGATTAAATCAAGTGAGATCAGCATTCATGCTGTGACTTCAGAGGTTTACTAACATGAAAAATGGCAAGATGAGGGAGCTGTATGTAACTCCATGGTCTCTTCCATGCTACAGCAAATGGAGCACTATACACATACCTGAGGGACACAATAAAATACTCTAAAAATACACCATCCCACAAATGCATCTTCCTAGAAACACCTCTGCTAAACACTTTTGAAAAAATCCACCATATTCTCATTACTAATGAGGTGCACTCTTACCACTGAATGCTCTGCAACCACACAGCAAGACAGCCTATGATCCAGAACAGCTACCACTGACAGACAATGTAAGACAAAGGCAAGAAATGGTCCTGTTAGCACCACCCTGCTAAGGAAAAGGATGAGGATTATTCAGGCTGGAGGGAGGACAAGGGACATCACTTGAGGTGGGGACATCTCTTGGCACAGGGACATCTCTTGGGATGGGGACCTCACTTGGCATGGGGACATCACAGAATTTAGGGGTTGGAATGGACCTTACAGATCATTTAGTCCCAGCCCTCCCTGCCATGGGCAGGGACACCTCCCCACTAGACCAGGATGCTCAAGGCCTCATCCAGCCTGGCTACAAAAACCACCAGGGCTGGGGCAGCCACCACTTCCCTGGGCAACCTGTTCCAGTGTCTCACCATCCTCACAGTAAAAACCTTTTATCTAGTATCTCACCTAAACTCCCCTTCCTTCAATTTGAAACTGAGGAGGTTTTCTCTTGGGGTAGGGTTATCCCTTGAGGTGGGGACCCATTTCCAGCATTGGAAGACAGAGTACAGACAGAAGGGTCAGGGTAAGGATGCCTATCTTGATTTCATATGCCCTGAGATAAAGATATGAGCAGGTTGCAGCACTACCCCTTCTCCTTGATGCACACTAGGAAAAAGGTGAGCTGGCAAAGCTAACTCCAAGTGCCTTCCTTTCCTGTACCTTATGCTGCAAGCTCTGTTCATAGGGGTGTCTACTAATGATACAAGGGAGAGAAATTGCTTCTGTTACAGCAACAGACAAGCCTGTTCCATTTCTGAATCTGGTGCTACAATGCCCTTAAACACCAGGTATCCCAAAAGAGACTCTTCCTTAGAAACCAAACAAAGCTGAAGAAAGTTGGAAAGGAGCTTCTCCAGATGCAAAGTACAAAATGAGAGGGCAAAAAAAATAACATTGCTCAGACACATAAAGGTGAAAACAGACATTTCCAGAAACATTTCCCAACCTTTCACTTACTGCACTGATTTTCCCACTTTAGAACAGAGCTCTGAATATACACACCTGAGATGCATCTGCAGCACTCGTTACAAGCATCCACACAATCAAAAC